TCCCTATGCCACAAAATTGTACATATTTCTTTCTTTTTCCTTTCTCTCTCTTTTCCTCTCTCCCTCTCTCTCTCTCTTTCTCTTTCTTCTTTTTTATTTATTTGAAAGGCAGAGTTACAGAGAGAGGAGAGAAAGAGAAAAAGAGGAATCTTATGTCTTCTGGTTCACTCCCCAAACGGCTGCAAAGTCCTGCTGGGCCAAGCAGAAGCCAGGAGCACAAAGCTTCTTCTGTGTTTCCCACAGGGGTGCAAAGACCCTAGAACTTGAGCCATCATCCACTGCTTTCCCAGGGGCATTAGTAAGAAGCTGGATCGGAAATGGAGCAGCTAGGCTCGAACTGGTGCCCATATGGTATGCCAGCGTCACACGTGGAGGCTTAACCAGTTATGCCACAATGATGACCACAAATGTACATTTTTCAACTATAGAGTATCTTATTTATCTTTGTATTTCCACTGTCTATTAACACAATACCTGGAATATACTAACAACTCAGTAAATAACAATTGGATTAATGGATCTAGTGATATAGTACCACTACCTAAAGTTTTCATTCATATAGCTATCTGGATTTATAATAAATCTTTAAACATTTGTTCTTGTGAAAATAGAGATACTTATCATAAAATGTACTTCTGTAAATCTTTCTGCTTCAAGAGGGAGTAACTCAGAGACAAGTAGAGATTCAAGGTTGATCTAGAAGATCTTTGGGGATGAAAGCAATAAAATCCTTGCCTATGCTTATTCATAACAGAAAACCCTTCAACTCAAAGAATTTTCTGTTGCATTTATTAAAAGCCCTATGATTATACTCTAGAGAGAAATAAATATAAATTAAGCCTTCTTAATTACTTATGTAGTTTTTATACATATACTAGTCTTACATATATTCATTAAAACATACATATGTTACTAGCTTAGTGCTTTGATAAGCAAGTGTGGCTGATTATGAACAGAGACCAAAGAAAGAAACTGAATGATCCATGGCAAAATTCTTATTAGAATGACTCAAAAAAAGTTTACACAGGATTTATCTTGTACATATAATATTCATGTCTTATTTTCTAGGAAAATATATACTAACAAATGAAGAACTTGCATTTTGTGTGCTGAAATATACTCTAAACCTAGTTGGTATGCCTTTAAATCTGTTATATCATCCATAAAATAATAGTTTGAAATTTCAGGATTTTTTTCATAATAAACCTGAAATAATACGCATTTTAGTTTCCAGAATCTTTAGGAACCTAATCAAAGATTTTTGCTGCAGAGATCTTTAAGGCCTTCTTTTTGATCCATTTCTATTCCTGTTCTCACAACTTCTGAAAAAAAAAATAAAAATAAAAACAAAAACGGGCATGACCCCAAGTGTCGTCCAGAAATTGTTGCTCTGTAAAGATATCCATCTGTTCCTTTCATTGTCTTCCTAGTAATATCTGACAGGGTTTGGGGTGTCCAAACACATTTCTGTTATTGTCAATATCACAGAGCCAAGAACTCTTTGGACAAGTAAACTATTGCCTATGTGCCCTCAACAGAATTGCCCTTGGCTATATCCAGAGCCTTTATTACTAGAGACAATGTGCAATACTCAGTGGGAAAAAATGCACTTGATATTAGACCTGCAATCAAAGTGGTAATTTTAAAGATGAATACAGAGTCATGGAAAGCAACATCGATTAAATGTCCAATGATTGTGGCATTTTAAACTTGACCCTTCCTAATGGCCTGGTGTTTTACAAGTTTTTAATGAATGTTTTAAACAGTTTGTAGTTAATATATTTTACTTTGTATGAATATGTAAGACTAATATATGTATAAAATTATATAAGTAATTAAGAAGGCTTAATTTATATTTATTTTTCTCTAGAGTATAATCATAGGGCTTTTAATAAATGCAATAGAAAATTCATTGACTTGAAGGGTTTTCTGTTATGAATAAGCATAGACAAGGATTTTATTGCTTCATCCCCAAAGATCTTCTAGATCAACCTCGAGTCTCTGTCTTAGTACCTCTTGAAGAAGAAAGGTTTATAGAAGTACATTTTATTATAAGTATCTCTACTTACATAACCTATGTACTAGCTGTATATATATATAAACATATTATATATATATATATATATATATATATATATATGGCATAGGGTGATGAGAAACTTTCACTTAGACTATAGATACTGGCTTTGAAAATTTTCAGTATAGTAAATATAATTCTTAGAAAATATCTTAGGGGCCGGCACCAGCATCCCATATATGGGCACTAGTTCTAGTCCCGGCCGCTTCTCTTCCAGTCCAACTCTCTGCTGTGGCCTGGGAAAGCAGTGGAAAATGGCCCAAGTCCTTGGGCCCCTGCTCCCACATGGGAGACCCAGAAGAAGCTCCTGACTCCTGGCTTCAGATTGGCGCAGCTCTGACCACTGTTGTGGCCATTAGAGGAGTGAACCAACAGAAAGAAGACCTTTCTCTCTGTCTCTCCCTCTCACTGTCTGTAACTCTGCCTCTCAAATAAATAAATAAAATCTTAAAAAAAGAAAATATCTTAAGTAGCCAATTGAAAACAAAATGCCTCTGAAGCCTAATATTTGGGGAATAGAATATTTTAATATGAACAACAACATCCAGAGGGGATATATGGACTTGGAGAAGAACTAAGAATACGTTTCAAAATTGTCAAAAATAATGTCTGTTTGAAAGATATTTGTTACATAAGAAATATGATTCATGATGTGGTATTAGATGTTACAAATAGCAGTTTTTAAAAATGACAGAATATGAAATGCTTATATTGTGATAAAAGCACATAACATAAAATTTACCACTTCAACTATTTTATAGCTGATAATTTGGTGGCATTTAGTACATTCATATTGTACAACCACCACTGCTATTCATCTCCAGAACTTTTTAATTATTTCACAGTGAAACTCCAGCCATTAAACACTAATCCCCCATTATTTTCTTTCCCCAGTCCATGATAACACCATTCTGCTTTCTACCTGTATGAATTTGTTCCAGTCACCTTTTGTCCTTTTATGTATGAAATTTCATTTAGCATATTGTTTTGAAGGCTCATCCATGTATCAGAATTCCATAACTTTTAAAGGCTAAAGAGTATGTCACCGCATGTACATCCCATATTTTATTTATTTATTCATCTGTCAACAAGCATTTGGGTTTGTTTTCAGCTTTTGATTACTGTGAATAATGCTTCTATGAACATTGATGTGCACATGATTTCAACTCTTTTGAGTGTATAACTAGAAGTGGAACTGGTAATCTTATGTCTAATTTATAAGAAACTTTCACATTACCTTCTATAGATGTGCCACCATTTTACTGTCTCACTAGCAATGCATCAACATCTCAATTTCTCCATATGCTCTCCAACATTTAATTTCTGTTTTTATTTTTGTTCTTAAATTATAGCTAACATAATGGTATCTTTTTGTTGCTTTGATTTGTTTTTTCGTAATGACTACTAATATTATACATCCTTTCATGTGATTGTTAGCCATTTGTGTATCTTTTTTGGAGAAATTTCTATCCAAGTCCATTGCTCATTTCTGTTTGATTGTTTTTGTTTTATGATTAACTGGCAGAATATTTATATTTTCTGGATATTAAGTATTTGCGAATACTTTCTCCCAGTATGTGCAGTGTCTTTTTACCCTCTTGATAGTGACTTTTTATTCATAAAACTTTTAAACTTGATAAAGTCAAACAAATCTATTTTTTCTTTTTTCACCTGTCCATTTGATATCCTGTTCAAGAAATCTGACCAAGAATTAAGCAGTATGGAAAATAATATATAGTGAATGCATGAATGCACAAATATGATTTGATGATTGTCGCTCCCTGTCTTCATGGAGGAACGACACAGGACCCTGCGCTGTTCTTTTTGTCTGCTCGGCCCTCCCCGGGTTTGCTGCTGGTTCTTCCCGGGTTGGCTACCGACCCTTCCACCTCCGTGGAAGGGCGGTTCCCCCTAGCCACTTTCCCCACTTCCACGGGGGAGCGGCACACCGCCAGCCGGCTCTCTCGGGGGCTGCACAGGTGTTCCCTCAGATGTTCCCTGATGCATGTTGTCTCTCTCCTCCTTTATAGTCCTCTTCCACCAATCCCAACTCTGCTACCCACACGCCGAGTACGCTGCTCTCCTCCAATCAGGAGCAGATCCTACAGTTTATTGGTTGAACTGGAGGCAGCTGAGTAGAAGCTGTTTCCTCCTCTCCCAGCGCCATATTGTGGGAGAGCAGATGCATAGAATAAATCTTAATTCCAGTAACAGTATAGTCCGAGTTGCTCCCCACAGATGATAGGATTTTAAAATCCTATTTCCGTAGCCTAAAAGTAAGTTGAATGCATGCATACCTCTTTCCACTCTTTTTAATTAATCCACAATGAATAAATGGAACTATTGTCTAGGTTGCCAAAAAATGCCTTCCTCCACTTACCTATGGTTATAGTATATGCAATTCAATCTGCAATGCTCTATGATTAGTGTCTATTTTTCTTTAGTACCGAGTTTTTTAGGATATTTATTTGTTTGTTTTTTTTTTTTTTGACAGGCAAAGTTAGACAGTGAGTAAGAGAGAGAGACAGAGAGAAAGGTCTTCCTTTTTCTGTTGGTTCACCCCCCAAGTGGCCACTATGGCCGGCGCGTTGTGGCCGGCGTGCTGCGCTGATCCGAAGCCAGGAGCCAGGTACTTCCTCCTGGTCTCCCATGCAGGTGCAGGGCCCAAGGACTTGGGCCATCCTCCACTGCACTCCCAGGCCACAGCAGAGAGCTGGACTGGAAGAGAAGCAACTGGGACAGAATCCGGTGCCCCAACCGGGACTAGAACCTGCAGTGCTGGCGCCACAGGCGGAGGATTAGCCTAGTGATCCGCGGCACCAGCCAGGATATTTAATTTTTAAATGACAGAAACTAAAAGGAGTCATCCAGCTTTTCTTATGTGTTTATATCCTGTTCAACAGTAATAATAACAAAAATAATTATGTCAGGCTCTTCCATAGAGCTTATCCACTTCTAACCATTTCATAAGCATTAATTACTCATTCACTCTTCACAACTATCATCTTCAACATCATAATCATTATCACCTTAGAGTAGGAAAACTCAAGAGAAAAGTTAAGCACAGTGCCAAACTCCCCATTGTACTAAGTGGCAGAGTCTGGAACCAAAGCCAGTAGTCAATGCTGTTAAATGCTCCACTCTTTACTGTCTCTCAGTGACGGAAGCTACTAGTCAAAGAGGTATACACAGGATATTTTCATCATTCTATTCACCTCAATGTAAACCTTTCAAGGATATCTATTCCTCACAGAAAGTAAAAGCTATGCTTGTAGAGTGATATTCAAGGTTTTTCAAAATTTGACCTCAATTTTATTTCCCACTTCTCTCCTCTATATAAATTGATAAGTTTCTAAACCCTGAGAACTTGTATCTGATGCTATTGTTCATATAATTTTCTACAACTAAGTTTATTTTCATCTCTACAAACTCATCTATTATTTTACTTCTTTACCTTTGTAATACTTGACTTCTAATCCCAGATACAAGTGTTCTTTCCCTCTTACATAACAATGCATATGCATCATTCTCATTTGCATATCCATTCACTTGCTATATGCTACTTTTAAAATACTTACTTCATGATCATTTATGTATATAACTTATTGCCCTTAAAAGGCATAATCTCTTGGAAGGCAAGCAACGTATAGTTTCCATTGTAATATCTCCCATGTGCCTGGCTTAGGTGCATTAAGACTATTATGGATTGATTTATTGATAAGTTGAGTTATTTAACCAAACTAATGCTGGCAATTTGATTTTTACAAGAAATTATTGTGATGAAGACAAACCTTGTCAGCCTGGCCCATCTCTAGCATTTGGGAGTGAACCAGTAGATGGAAGATGTTTCTGTGTTCCTACAAACAAAATATTTTTAAAAAATCATGAATATGAGGCCCGAGTTCCAAAGAGAGATGATCAGGTAACCCAAAATTTTATTTGAGGACCAGGATACTCAGGATGTACTGAGGGGGCTGTGTCAGTGGTAGTGACATGGATGAAGTGAATTTAGAAAAATAATTTGATGTTATACCATAATGAGTGTTAAATTCCACAATAATTAGATGATGCAGGAATGCTGAAATATGCACAAACTTTAAAGTGTTGAGGTCAAACGATAAGATTTCTGTTTTCAAAAGAGAATTGTAGGAGTGTGAGTCTGAGCCAACAGGATGGTGCTTGCATAGCTCTGTTGGTAAAAAGTGTTTCCCTGTGGGCTCTGCAGCCGAGTCACCATGTGTGGCACAGCATGGAGGGCATCAAGATCAATGGGGTGGCAGCGCTGGCCCAAAGTCTGCTTTACCCAGTTGGGAGGCTGACTTTCCTTTCCAACTGTTCCCAGACTAACAGAACATCTCTGGCACACAGAGATTGAAATGTCTGCTTATCTTTGGAGATGCCTAAATGAAAGCATAGCTGAAAATCAAGCATGAGCAGGAATGGATAAGATCACTCCTTCTCTGGAGGCTTGAATTGTTGCCTAGCCCTCCTATTGAATTATTAACACATGTGATGCCAATAGCCAAAAGAGCCACGGACAGCCAGCAAGAGCAGGAGGAACAGTTCAGGAGGGCTTTGAGAGGACAAACTAGAGATTGGGGTCTGCTCTCTGAATAGCTCCTGTTGCTTAAAGACCTTGAAGGTCCTGCCTGGAGATAAGATAAGGTACTCTGTAGAGGTGGTGAAGGTTGGAGTTGGGGTGGTAACCTTTCCAAGCCAGATATGGGGCTTGAGGAAAAATAAATCAATTATGTGAAACTCAGAGACCGATATGAGAAGGGGAAGGGATAGGAAGGAAGGAGGGAGCAAGCACGGTGGGAAGTTTAGAGAAGATGGAAATGAGAGAGATGATACAAGATGACCTTAGGTTACTATACCAGGCAAAAGATAATGGTGATGACTCAACTGCTTACATGAATGAAGGGAAAGAAACAGAGAGAAGAGGTTTGAAATTCAGTGCCCCCAAGACACTTCTTTTCCCAGGACTTAATTAAATGCTAAAGGGAAAATTCCTATGTTAATACTAACGCATTTCCAGTACATATCTCTAAATCTGAGTTAGAGAAAACTAGTGTTGTTTTTATTTTTAAAACAGATGTCCTAAAATAAAATTTTGCAGTATGGGGTAGAAGAAAGCTTCCTTGGGTGTGATGTCAGCGTCCCCAGGCACAAACTAACATTGAGATCTTGGACCTTTTCTGCTCCATAGTTTCTAAATCTTTAAGGGGCCTGATGTAGATAATTTCTAGTTTCTAGGGCTTTGTTTTAAATTTGGACTTGTACCTTTCTAAATCTTAGGTCATCTTCTTATAACAATCTTGGACACCCAGAAAATAAAAAGCAAATACTTCTAGTTCTCTGATGGCTGTTATCAATTACATGATAAGAATGAGACACCATGAGAACTATAGAAAACATTTTATAAAAAAATTTATAGGGGCCGGCACTGTGGCACAGTGGGTTAATGCCCTGGCCTGAAGCGCCAGCATCCCATATTGTCGCTCCCCCTCTTCATGGAGGAACGACACTAAACCCTGCCTAGGCTTCATATCCGAGTCACGGCACCATTATGTCGCTCCCCCTCTTCGTGGAGGAACGACACAAGACCCTGCGCTGTTCTTTCGTCTGCTCGGCCCTCCCCGGGTTTGCTGCTGGTTCTTCCCGGGTTGGCTACTATCCCTTCCACCTCCGTGGAAGGGCAGTTCCCCCTGGCCACATTCCCCACTTCCGCAGGGGAGCGGCACACCGCCGGCCGGCTTTCTCGGGGGCTGCACGGGTTCCCTTAGATGTTCCCCATAGATGTTCCTGGTGCATGCCGTCTCTCTCCTCCTTTATAGTCCTCCTCCGCCAATCCCAACTCGGCTGCCCACACGCCGAGTACGCTGCTCTCCTCCAATCAGGAGCAAGTCCTACAGTTTATTAGCTGAACTGGAGGCAGCTGTGTGGAAGCTGTTTACTTCTCTCCCAGCGCCATATTGTGGGAGAGCAGATGCATAGAATAAGTCTTAATTCCAGTAACTCAGTCCAGTCCGGGCTGCTCCCCACACCATATGGGCACCGGTTCTAGTCCCCGCTGCTCCTCTTCTGATTCAGCTCTCTGCTGTGGCCTAGGATAGCAGTGGAAGATGGCCCAGGTCTTTGGACCCCTGCACCCGCATGGGAGACCCGGAGGAAGCTCCTGGCTCCTGCCTTTGTATCAGCGCAGCTCTGGCCGTTGCAGCCAATTGGGGAGTGAACCATTGGATGGAAGACCTCTCTCTGTCTCTACATCTCTCCATAACTCTGTCTTTCAAATAAATAAAATAAAATAAATCTTTATTAAAAAAAGAACTTATACTCATTTTTTTGTCCATGTTTCTCCTCTTTCTAGGCATTGCATGATTCTCAAGTTACACGTTGGGGCTGGTAGCACAAGGTGAAACTGTAATGGACTCCGAGAAACAAGTAAGAGAGGGGCAAATAAGGCCGGCGCTGCGGCTCACTAGGCTAATCCTCTGCCTTGCCGTGCCGGCACACTGGGTTCTAGTCTCGGTCGGGGCACCGGATTCTGTCCCGGTTGCCCCTCTTCCAGGCCAGCTCTCTGCTGTGCCCAGGGAGTGCAGTGGAGGATGGCCCAAGTACTTGGGTCCTGCACCCCATGGGAGACCAGGACAAATACCTGGCTCCTGCCATCGGATTGTGTTGGCCGCGGCTGCCATTGGAGGGTGAACCAACGGCAAAGGGAGACCTTTCTCTCTGTCTCTCTCTCTCACTGTTCACTCTGCCTGTCAAAAAAGAAAAATAAAAAGAGATGGGCAAATCTACAAATAGGCAAAGTACTGAGCAGGATTAGAGCTGAAGGGTTGAGGCTGTGAAGGGATAAATGAAAGACAGATAAATGATTGTCCAAATACTTATTGAGGCAAACATTTGGTACATAATTTGTTTTTGATACAACTGTAATGAATGTCACTCTTCTCTATGGAACCACACGCCAAATCTGGAGCACATCGCTGCTTGGTGCCCAGTGGGCAGCAAGTGCCCAATTGCTAATGCCACTTTTTAGCGCATGTTCATCTGCGGGATACTAAACAGCTTGCCATCCTTTTGATGTTTGTGAATATGAGTAGTAAATACCATATGATATGACTTGATGGATTTGTTTCAGCAAAAAGAAAAAGACAAAGAGGAGGACTAAGAAAGGAATGAGGAGAAGGAGTAGGAAGAGGAGGGAATTTGAAGAGGTGAGCTAAATAAATCTGAAAGGATATCAATGTTGTGGAGGTGAATAATAAGCTTTGCATCCAGAAAAGAACAATACATCTACCAAGCTCATTCTCCAATTTCTGGCATGTTTTGTGGCTATGGAAATAACACCCTAAAGAATCTATAAATTTTATTCTCTAGGAAAAAATCATTATGAATACAGAATGATATCATTATAGCTCAGAATCTTCCAGAACATGCTTAATTCACCATAAAAATTCTTTGTCTGAGAGTGTACATTTTGTCCTAAGTAGTCATTGCCAAAGACATAATACTAGGCTTCATAAGAAATCTCACTAACAAGCACTTTTACTTTCATCTTGGAAAAAGTCTAACAATGTTGTTTGAGGCAGAGGGCTATCAATTAAGTGAAAGTAAAGAGACATCAAAATCAAACACTTTTAAATCTTTCTCTATTTCTGTATGTCAATAACAAGTAATTTAAAATTTTTATTTACTTTTTTATTAGAAAATGTTGAACCAGATGATCTCTCAAGTCCTACCAAGCTCCAGCCTCTTCTGACATTGTGAGAGTAGTCTTGGAGTTTTATTTGTGAATATTGTTTGTCAAGAATACTAAATTCTATGAAAATTATCATATTCCCTAGATGATCATCTGCTAAATTCTGAAGCTATACCTTTTTTTGGATTGGGAAGTGATTTTATTATTTTTCCCTCAGTTTTAAAAAAAGTATTAATTAATTTTTATTCATTCAAAAGAGAGGGAGGGAGACAGAGAGAGAGAGAGAGAAAGAGAGAGAAGACTCTCTTCTATTTGCTGGTTTACTCCCCAGATGCCCTCAACAACTTCTGAAACCAGAACCCTGGAACTCAATCCTGTTCTCTCAACAGGTGACAGGGACTCAAGTACTTTGGCCATTGCTACTACCCATAGGTTGCACATAGCAAGAAACTGGAATGGGAGCAAAGCAGGATTTGAATCCAGGAATGTGATATAAGATACAGACATCCCGAGTAGGATCTTAACCTCTACACCAAACATCCACCTCTTCCCCAGTGGTCTTAATGTGAGACTGAACTAATTGTGGATACCTATGGCCTATTTGAAATAGAGTTTGGAATTAGTTTGGAAGGGGCTAGACAAAAATTATGATGGGATAGGGGCGGGGAGAGATAGCACAACTTCCTATCCCAGGGTGTAGTGTGGGTCACATTGCTGAGGCCAGAGACTTGAAAACAGGATGCCTACTCCAGTTCAGAGAAAGAGCTAGACAAAGCAGAGTTATCCTTATTTGCAGTCACTAGAACATTTTTGTCCTGTTTTTTTACCAGCTCCCTGTCAAAGCTTTATATATGGAGATATAATGTCTCCTTACTAATTTTGGTTTTGTAAATGTTTCCAAACTCATATTTCCTATGACACTTGAAAACATTCTCTGACAACTGTAAATCAGAGACATTTGAGTTTTATAGATACTTTGTTAGACTATGAACATGGTCTTATCATCCTCTACTTTTTTTTCCCACCAAGGGTCAAGGCCTTCTTTGTTTTTCTTTTTCTAAATCAGTTTGTTGAGGGCTGGTATGATAATGAACTATAATGTATGCTAAACACATAGAAGACAAGGATCACAGACAATTTCTCCAAGGCTCAAATAAATTGGGCTGTGAAGGTTGATGATGGAAACTATGGGGGATATTTAAATATTAAGTTTATTCATTTTGTTCTGATTGAAACAATCAAAATAGAGCATTGAGCCATCATTTCAGTGGGAGGTTATAGTAGGTGACTGACTGAGATGATATCATAGTCCTTCAAGACTTCGCTGGGAAATTACCCTAGGTGATCTTATTGTTCACATGATTTTTAAAAAGGCACAGAAGCACATTTTCTATATATAATTGTCAGAGTTGCTGCATGATGTTCTACCTAAATGGGAGTTGTTTAATGCAGCATTTAGACTCATGCATTGAGAACAAAGGCTTACTGTGGATAACATAATAGCTTCCTTGGGAGACTATGGTTATTTATATCAATATGATAATATAAGCCACAGAAATCAGGCACAAACAGATAATAATTCAGGATTCTGTGTGTAGCCAGAAGGGTGAGATACTTGCTCCTGTATGTCCAGGGTAAATAGCTGCCATTCCTAGAGCTAAATTAGAAATAATTTATCTGTTCAGCGTGGTTTCTACATGAATATCACATAGGGTGTCTTTCATTAGACTCCATTGTACATCTTGGGTTTATTGTGGGGAGGGGTATCTTTAACTTTGCTTTCTCTTCTTGGCCTTGTTTCTCTTCAACTCTCCCTCCCATGCTTCTTTTCCTCTATGTCTGTCTATCTTTCTCTTCACTTACATCTTCCCGTCCCAGACAACACTACCCTTAATTCACAAAATAAACCCTTGGAAAACAGCATGAGAAATGGATGCCTTTCATTCTCCTAGTTAGTGTTCTAGCTCAGATACTTTCACTCACTCATATGCCTGACATTCCATGACGACTTGCCATTTTATAACATGCATACTGTGAGACCCCATCATCATAACTTAACCATGTAGTTCTGCTTAGTGGCAATATAGAGAAATTATTAATTAGCTAATTTTATAACAGAACATACAGAATCTCCTTTATAGCCTTAGGAAAAAGATAAAACACTGGCATTTACCAATATCTTATGAAAATAAGACATTAAAGGAAATATTTATATCTATAATCTATCTCTATCATCTATCTATCTATCATTTATCTATCTATCTAGAAAGCTGATAATCACAGGAATGTACATATGGGGAGAGTCAGACTGAGATGCTGAGTTTAGGACTTTTAGATGTATTTTCTTATGATAGCTTTGTTTGTGACTCTTTATAAAAGGTCATTTGCAAGCAGGGCCCAGATTGAAAATTATGGCCAAATAAATGAAATGGGAAATTAATTTGTTTTAAATGGTACTAGACATTATCATATACTTGTTCAGCCTAATCAGACAAATGGCTTCAAATAAAGCTCAGAGACCTGCTAGAAATAGGAACTGGCACACCCATTGCGAGCAGACTGTGGACTCAGGGAGGATAAATCAGCATGGCCAAGGATAGCAAAGAGCCTGTGAGGAAAAAAGGGCAGATTACTGCCTCCTCACACAGGGCACCAAACGAAAGGAACAGAGAGGAGACAAGGTACTAATTTGCAGCCATGCCAGATTTATCCAAAGAAAATAAATCTGCAGAGGTGGGTGACCAACTGCCAGCATGCACACAGACTGAACACGTGGCAGAGGGCCCAGACCCCAGTAGGCTGGGCCTTTTTATCTTGGGTGGGCTAGGAGTGAGGAAGGAGGGCAATAGGTAGAGGTGAGCTTCCCCATACAGGTTCTTCAGGTTTGGCCCACTGGCTTCCAAACCTGGGGACGATATAGGGGGTGGCCTGGGGAACAATACAGGGTGTGAGACTGAACTGGTCTGTTGAAAGAAGGCAGGGTAACAAGACCTCAAATGGCTGAGGTTATGTCCTTGTTCCATCAGAGCCTACTTGACAGAGCTTTGTTTTTTTTTTTTTTTTTATTCCTTCTGAGTTTGAAGGTAATTTTTTTTCTGTTTTTAAAAATAACTTTACTGAAATACAATTACTTTATTATAAGTAACTTTAAAAGGTTCATGGGAAGAGAATTGGCAGGTTTATTTTGGTACAAAAATTTTGGAAACCCATGTATAGTAGGGAAATGCATATCATAAGAAAAGTACTATTCACAGGTTTCAAAATTTGTTTGTACCAAAATAAATCTGTCAATTGCATTCTCCAAAAGCTTTTTGAAGTACCTGCATAAAATGAACAGTTATCATGATTCCTACCCCTTCGTGTTCACTTCTCATTTCCCCTTCCCCCAATTCCTAAGCAGCCACTGATCTGCTTTCTGTCACTGTAAAATAGTTTGCATTTTCTAAAATTATGTATGAACAAGATCATATACTATGTATATATTTTTTGTTTGGATTATTTTACTCAATTATTTTGAAAGTCATCTATTCTAGAATTAATACTTCATTTTTATTGGTAAAAAAGTATTTCATTGCATGAATAATCATAGTTTATTTACCCATTCACCAATCAATGGACATTTGAGCTGTATCCAGTTATTGGTTGCAATAAGCGATATACTCAACTCTGTATATGGTCATTTATTCACATTTTCTTGGTCAAATACTTAAGTCCATATTTAATTTTTAAAGAAATAATCAATTTTACATTTCCAAAAGAAGTATAAGAGAGTTACAGTTATTCTAGAACTTTACCAACATTTGGTATAGTCACTCTTTAATTTTAGACATTCTAGTTAAGGTACAATATTTCTCATGAAATCCTTGTTTTTAGTTTGTTCCTATGATGAAATACATTTACTGGCTTTTTTAATTACACTGATGCACTTTCCTATTTCCACATGCCCTCATTTGGTATGAAGTATACTTTTTATTTAGTTAGATTGTGTTAAAATTTTAGAATGTCTAAATTTATGTTTGTAAAGGATATTGGTCTACAGTTGTCTTTTCTTATAATGTCTTTTATTCTGGTATTGAAATCAGGATAATGCTGTAAACCCACCTCATTGAGTTTGAAAATAGTTCCTTATTTTCAGATTTGTGTTAAAATTTGTGTAGAACAGGTAATATTTCTTAAATGTTTGGAAGAAGCCAACATTGAAGCCACTTGAGCTTAGATATTTCCTTGTGGGATGATTTTTAAACTAGAAATTCAATATTTTTGAAAGACAGTCCATTTCAGCTTGTCTGTGGTTTATTTTTTTCTTGAGTTTTTCAGTGTTTTACAAGGAATTTGTTCATTTTACTTGTCAAATTTACTGACATAAAATTCTCACAGTAGTCCTATGTTTTCATCATAAAACCTTAGGACTTGAAATGACATTACTCTCATTTATGATACTGGTATTTTTGTCTCCATTTTTTTCCTGGTCAGTCTGGCTAAAAGTTTATCAATTTAATGATATTCTAAGAGACAACTTTTGATTATATTGATTTTTTCTATCGTTTTCTATTATCTATGATCCCTGTTATCCTGTTTCATTACTTCTACTTTGTGTTTATTATTCTATGTCTAGTTTCTTAAGGTAGACATGGAAGTTACTGATTTAAGACTTCTCTCTTCTAATACAGACCTTTAGTTCTATAAATTCTTCCCTAAATACTGTTTTAATAATATCTCACAAATTTTTCATGCTGTGTTTTAATTTTCATTCAATTCCAAACCACTATTTTCCCTCTTTATATCGTTAACTAATTGATTATTGCAAAGTTTTTGGGCTGGTGTTGTGGCATAGCTGGTAAAGCTGCTGCCTACAGTGCCAGCATCCCGTATGTGCACCAGTTCAATTCCTGGCAGCTCCACGTCCCATCCAGCTCTCTGCTAATAACCTGGGAAAGCAGCAGAAGACAGCCCAAGTCCTTGGGCATCTGTACCCACCAGGGAGAATGGAAGAAGCTCCTGGCTCCTGGTTTCAGATCTGCCTCTCTCTAGCCATTGCGGCCATTCAGGGAGTGAACCAGTGGATGGAAGACCTCTCTGTCTCTCCCTGTCTCTCTGTAACTCTTTCAAATAAAACAAATAAATCTCCAAAAGCAAAAAAAAGTTTGCTATTTAGTTTCCAAATACTTGGGGATTTTCCAGAGATCTTTCTTTTATTGACTCATAATTCTCATGTGCTCACACAACATAATTTGTATGAAATTCCTTTTAATTTTCTGAAGCTTGGTTTATGGCCTATGGTCTTGTTAGTATGTATTTCATAGGCACCTGAAAATTATTTGTATTCTTTTAATGTTGGATGGCATGGCCTGTGAATTTTAATTTAGTCAAGTTATTTGATAGCATTGTTCAAATATTTGTGTGCGTGTGTGGGGGGGACTATTAAATTCTTTTCTGGGGCTGGCAAGGCCAATTGAGCTGCCACCAGATGCTAGCATCCTATATGGGCACCAGATTGAGACCTGGCTGCTCCACTTCTGTTCCAGCTCCCTGCTAATGTGTCTAGGAAAGTAGGGGAAGATGGCTCAAGTATTTACACCTCTGCATCCAGGGAAACCTGGAAGAAGCTCCTGGCTCCTGGTTTCTGCCAGACACAGCACTGCCTGATGCAGCCATTTAGGATTGAACCAGTGGATGGGAGCTCTCTCTGCAACTTTGCTTTTCAAATGCATAAAAAACTTTAAGAAAAAAAATTATCTACTTGCTCTATAAAATGTTGAAAGACACTTATATCTCTCATTGTAGTTGCAGATTTGACTAATTTTCCTTTTCATTCTATGAGATTTTGCTATATGTATTTTGAAACCATCATTAGATGCATAAATATTTAAGATTATTATATCATCTAGATAATTTTACCCTTTTGTCATTGCAAAATGATCTTTCACTGGTAAGATATTGTACTCTGGATTTCCTTTGATATTATTTATAGCATTCTGGAATTATTTTAATTAACATGGTATGCTGCTTTCCATCCTTTCACATTGATACTATTTGTTTCCTTTATATACAAACTGTGATTCTTGGATGCCGTGCATATTTTGGTCTTACTTTTATTAGACAAACATGCTAATCCTACTTTAAATTGGATTACTTAGATTTGTTTTTTTAATATTAAAAAGTTTAAATATTTATGCTTAATCACATTATCCCTCTTAGTATTTTTGTTTGTTTGTTCTACTTAATAATTTTGGCTGAATACTGTAATCAACACACAGTTATTCTCAAGTGTAGAAACTTAACTGAAAAGTGATCGCTGTTAAATATGAGTGAGAATAAAAGAGGGAAGAGATGTGCAATTCGGGACATGCTCAAGCTGACTTACCTCAAACAGTAGTGTTAGAAACATACCAGGGGATTCCAATTCAATCCCATCAAGGTGGCATGTACCAAGACCATCTCACTAGTCCCAGTGATCAATTTCTGTTCACAATTGATCATAATGATAGGACTAAGAGCAAAAGGGAGCACATAAACAAGACTAGTGTCTGCAAATACTAGCTGATAGAATAAAAAGGGAGAGAACAATCCAACATGGGAAGTGAGATACACAGCAGACCCATAGAATGGCAGATATCCTAAACAGCACTCTGGCCTCAGAATCAGCCCTTAAGGCATGCGGATCTGGCTGAAAAGCCCATGGGAGTATTACAGGCATGGAAAGCCAAAACACTCTGGCAAAACCAAACCAAACCAAAACAAAACAAAAAAACCCTACATGAAAGATCTGTGCAAGTGAGATCCCAGTGGAAAGAATGGGGCCATCAAAGAAGGAGGTACCTTTCTCTGAAGGGAGGAGAGAACTTCCACTTTGACCACAACCTTGTCTACATATGATCAGAGTTGGTGAACTCAAAAGGCTTCCATAGCCTTGGCGACTCATGACAAGAGCCTAGGGTGATTACTGATGCCATAAACAAGGCTGTCAATTTGTTAAGTCAACAACAGGAGTCACTGTGCACTTACTCCTCATGTAGGAGCTCTGTCCTTAATGCATTGTACATTGTGATTTAATGCTATTACTAGTACGCAAAGAATACTTTACACTTTGTATTTCTGTGTGGGTGCAAACTGTTAAAATCTTTACTTAATATATGCTAAACTGATCTTCTGTATATAAAGAGAATTGAAAATGAATCTTGATGTGAATGGAAGGGGGGAGGGCGAGGGAAAGGGGAGGGTTGCAAGTGGGAGGGAAGTTATAGGGGGGGAGGGAAGCCATTGTAATCCATAAGCTGTACTTTGGAAATTTATATTCATTAAATAAAAGTTAAAAAAAATTCTGGGGTATAATTCAATAAGTGTATACAATGTATAAGGGTCAAATATGGGTAAATAACATTTCCATCACCTCAAATATTATCAGTTCTATGTGTTGGAACTTTTTTTTAATAAAAGATTTTATTTATTTGAGAGGCAGAATTATAGAAAGAGGGAAAGACAAAAAGTCTTCCATCTGTTGTTTCACTCCCCAAATGGCCACAACAGCTGGAGTAGGGCCAATCCAAAATCAGAACCCAAGCGCTTCTTCCAGGTGCCTACATGGTTGCAAGGGCCCTAGCACTTGGGCCAACTTCCACTGCTTTCCCAGGCCATTAGCAGAAATCTGGATTGGAAGTTGAGCAACCAAGACTTGAACTGGCACCCATATGGGATGCTGGTGCCCTAGGCGGAGGCTTCACCACAGCTTTGGCCCTTTGTTGGAACTTTTAAACTCTTTTCCTCTAGTTATTTTGAAATGTATAATACGTTGTTGTAGATTGGTCTGTTTTCACTTACTGTGCTTATTGGTATGGTCAAATTTGAATACATTTTCCAGCTTTTGTTTTCTATTTCCCTATCTATTCTTCGTTCCCTTTTCATTGATTGTATACATTCTGTATGAATATATTATAGTTTTTATGTATGTATTTGTCTTGTGAATAATAATTTTTGTTTTATTTTGGTATTTACAAAATGCATCTTCAATTATCAGTATAATTTTCAGTGGTTATGCCACTTTCTTTATAGTATATAAAAACCAAGCTCTTATACTTCCATTTTGTATTTTTTTACATATGCTTAAACTCCACATTATATTTCTACGTTTTGACATTTTCTACTTGAAAACAATTCTACTGCAGTATTTCATAGTGTCTTCTTTTTTCCAGTAAATGTCCCACTAAGATAGTTGGATAAAAAAAAGTGTAAGAAGTATTGTTGAGGGGCCAGAAATGTGCTGTAGCAGGTAAAGCTGCTGCCTATGATACCAGCATTCCATGTCGGCATTGGTTATTGTCCCGGCTGCTCCACCTCTGATCCCGCACCCTGGGAATGCCCTGGGAAAAGCAATGGAAGATGGTCCAAGTGTTCAGGTCCCTGCTCCCCATGTGGGAGACCTGGAGAAACTCCTGGCTCCTGCTTTGGCCTGGTCCAGAATGGCCATTGCAGCCATCTGGGAAATGAAACAGTGACAAAAGCTGTATCTTTCTCTTTCTCTCTCCTTCTCTCTCTTAACTCTGCCTTTCAAATCAATAATATTAAAAATATTGAACTGACTACTTTTTAATTTACATAGAACATGTACTTGATTTTATATACTTGTTAAAAAAGTTTCTCCTAGTAAGTAATATGCATATTGCCCCAAAATGTGCATAGCCATTTACATATTTATGTATGTAGTTGTCTACTTAGGACTATCTATTATATAAGCTACAGTGTGATCTTAATTTATAAATGATAAAGACATATAGGCTTTACCTAACAAGTAAAAATGTATAGCAATGAAAGATGAAACAGAAAATGGTCCATTCCTCTTAGGATCCACACAATTCAGTATAATTAGTGAGACCTTATAAAAAATGTCTGAAGAATTTCAATTTTGGAAATTTTTGTTCAGGAAAATATTTAAGTTATGAGAATAAAAAAAATTCCATTATAAGAGTTCAGCTAATGTTTTCATATATATTCAATGGAGATGTTGCAGTCTCAATATACAGGAAAGAGGACTTTAGGATTTACTAAAAACAGTAACAAAAACTCCTCAATTTTAGATTAGTAACAGCTCTTATCAAGTATGTGAAACACAGAGAATTAAATCATGGTCTATAAATGTTATAGTATCTAATGAAATAATCCATGGACAGAATCTAATATCCTGTAGTTTATACACGGATAATATGGCAAATGGAAGGAGTCAACCCCCAAAGGTGACTGGCCCAACATTAACTGATGATGTAAAACAACAACAACAACAACAATGCAACAAACACCAGTTGTTTCACAGTGGTTTTTCTATTGTGTTTTCTTTATTTCAAGCCACAGGTCTACATGGGTCATATAGCAAGAGTTATGTCTTATAAACAATATCAGAGTCTATATAGTGTCATCATATTAAGAGACAGAATTGCTGGATTCTTTCATCCTGTGAAAAGCTCACATCTTAGCAATCCATGGAGGTTATTCTTATGGTATACCTGAGATATATCTTGCTCCAATTAACATTATCATGCTACTCACTATAAAAAACCCCAAGGGCAGACTAGAGAAGATAGTAGGGTCCTCAGGACTTGTAACCCAAGCCATTGACTTCATCACAGCCTTCTTCCATGTAGAATAACGTACTTCACTTTCTGTGGCCTGGATCTGAGGTTCGAACTGTTCCATCATGACAGCTGACAAATCCTCAGGGTCAAGGCTCCAAACACCTACTCCTTCTGCAGCCCCTGCTGCCATGGCAGCTCCAAGTGCAGTGGTTTCGGGCATGGATGACTTTACTATTGGAATACACAGGATGTCTGCTTGTAGTTGCATGAGAATTTTGTTGTTGGTCATTCCTCCATCTACTTGCAAATGACTGAGTGGAATTCTACAGTCACGGTTCATGGCATCCAAAATCTCTCGGGTCTGGAAACAAACAGCCTCCAGTGCAGCAAAAGCAATATGATTTTTATTGGTAAACTGAGTGAGACCACAGATTATGCCTCTTGCACTTGGGTCCCAGTACGGTGCATATAACCCTGAAAAGGCAGGGACAAAATAGCAGCCATAAGAAGTACCAACTTCTTGAGCAAGTTTTTCAACTTCTTCTGAGGTCTGTATAATTCCAAGATTGTCTCTCAGCCAACGAACAACAGCCCCAGCTATGGCAACAGAACCTTCCAAGGCATAGTAAACTGGTTTGTCTCTGCCTAGTTTGTAAGCGACTGTGGTCAGGAGGCCATGTTCAGAAAATACACACTTGTGACCTGTATTACACAGTAAGAAACAGCCTGTTCCGTATGTGTTTTTTGCTTGTCCTTCCTGGAAGCACATTTGTCCTACTAAAGCAGCAGACTGGTCCCCCAGACACCCAGATATTGGCACACCTTCCAAGGCTCCAACTTTCATTAGACCATAGATCTCAGAAGAACTCCAGACATTTGGAAGAATGTTCATTGGAACTTCAAAAAAGTCACAGAGCTCTTTGTCCCATTCCAAAGAGTGGATGTTGAAAAGCATTGTCCTACTTGCATTTGTTACATCCGTACAATGGACACCTCCGTTGACTCCTCCTGTCAAACTCCAGATAAGCCACGAATCAATGGTCCCAAAAAGAGCTCTACCTTCTTCAACGGCCTTTTGAACTTGTCTCACATTGTCAAGCAACCAACGAATTTTCACAGCGCTGAAGTAAGTGCTGAGCGGAAGGCCTGTCTTTGACTTGACAAAGTTATTATTTCCCGGGACTTTTTTACTCAGCGTCTCAACCGTAGCCTGGGTTCTTAGATCAAGCCACACTATGGCATTGTAGAGAGGCTCTCCAGTTAGCTTGTCCCAGATGACAGTGGTTTCCCTTTGATTGCTGACACCAATAGCTTTTACGTTGGAAATATCAATATTCAGTTCACCAAGCTTCTCACACGTTCTCGCTATGCACTCATACACAGACTGAAGAATTTCCTTAGGGTCTTGTTCTACCCATCCTTCTTTTGGGAACTCCTGTGTTAATTCCACCTGATGATGACTAAGTAGTTCCGCTGTTTTTGAATTGAAAACCAGAAAGCGAGTGGAGTTGGTACCCTGGACCACCGCCCCCACCAACGGCCCCACAACTGCTTTCCTCGGGGCTGCCATGAAACCAGTCGGTCGGCTCAGCTGCTCTGGGACCGTTTCCGGGGTGACGGCGGTACTGCGGGGGCGGGGCGCGCAGCCAGTCCGGAGCACACAGCGCAGGCGCGATGGCTACCTCTGCAGAACGTGGGAGCGCACTAGCGACCTTTGCCCTTAACTGACTGCACCATCTCAACCCGCCCCCAGGGTCCCCTCTCCACCCACGCCCGGCCCCAGCCCCCACTTCCCCCACCCCCGCCTCTACATGGTCTTTTAAGGTGATTTAAGTTGTAAAAAATCATGATTATCCGTGTAACCAGCTCTTCTGTTTCGTGTAGATCTATATTTCTGTTTTTTTTTTTTTTTTTTTTTTTTTTTTCTGTGAGATTCCATAACATTTCTTACATTGCAGGTCAGCCACGGAGGGATGCTTCCAATTTTTGGACATCCGAGAAGTATTAAGTTTTAATATTTTAAGTTATTTCCTCTGGGTTTAGAGATCTAATTGACTACTTTTTTTTTTTTTAATTTCCTTTTTAAATTTTAGGACTTTGTTGCTGCAAGTCTTGTCTCTTGCTGTGTTAGGTATAGACTGCTATTATCCTTATCATTATTATTATTAACTTTTAAAAATTAGTCTATTTGGAAAGGGGGATGTATACACACACAACAGCGAAGAGCATCAGTAATTGTGGATACATGGATAAATACGTGTGTGTGTGTGTGTGTGTGTGTGTGTCAGAGAGAGAGAGGGAGAGAAGATGGAGAGAGAGACAGGGAGAGTGAGCCAACTTCCCCAAATGAACACTGATGCAAGCCAGGTCTACCAAGGGAGAGGCAAGAACTTAGTTATTTAAGCCATCACCAGTGCCTCTCAGGGTCTGAACTAATAAAAAGCCCGAGTGAAGAGAATTATGAGACATGGACGTTTAACCACTAGCCTGAACACTTGCTCCTGTTGTCCTTATTTTTAATGCACCTTGTTTTCAATACTGCCTTTAGCATTTTTCTGTTTATGCATGGCTTTGGTCAGTTTTATTTTGATATGCTCTGGCATACTTTTTTATTTTCTGT